CCAGGCGGTGGAGGTTGCAGTGAGCTGAGATCGCACCTTTGCGCTCCAGCTGGGCAACAAGAGCAAAACTCCGTCTCAAGAAAGAAAAAAAAAAACAAAAGAAGTCCCCACAAGGAACAGCTTACTTTTGCCAGATTTTTAAATTCCACCTGTGGCTGGGGGCCCTCCCCATAGCTAATTTTTTTGTATTTTTAGTAGAGATGGGGTTTCACCATGTTGGCCAGGCTGGTCATGAACTCCTGACCTCGTGATCTGCCCCCCTCGGCCTCCCAAAGTGCTGATATTACAGGTGTGAGCCACCACACCAGGCCTAATTTTTATATCTCTATCAGAGACAGAGTTGTGCTATGTTGCCCAGATTGGTCTCAAACCCCCAAAGTGTTGGGATTACAGGTATGAGGTGTCACACCAGGCTTTTTTTGTTTTTGTTTTTCAGGGGGGCTTTGGTGGAGATGGGGTCTTACTTTGTTGCCCAGACTTGTCTTGAACTCCTAGGCTCAAGCACGCTTCCCACCTTGCCTTCCCAAAGTGCTAGGGTTATAGGCATGAGCCATTGGGCCTAGCCAAGAAGCTCATTTTTAGATTGACAATATTAGAAGAGACCAGCATTATTACTAGAATTATCTAGTACCTTTTATCATCAACAAATATTTATTGAATGCCTGTTATATAACAGATACTATGCTAGGCACTTGGATACATTAGTCAACAATGCAGAACAAAATTCCTGCCCACAAGGAGCTTACATTCTAGTTTGAAATATAGCTAATTCATTTTTATTAAAATATAACAGGTGATAAATTACAAATGTTAATGCCGCTGAATAGCACACTTAAAAGTGGGTAAAAGGGCAAATTTTATGACATTTTTTTTTACTTCAAATAAAAATAATAAATTTTGGCCACGTGCAGTGGCTCATGCCTGTAATCCAAGCATTTGCGGAGGCTGAGGCAGGCAGATCATTTGAGGTCAGGAGTTCGAGACCAGCCTGGCCAACATGGTGAAACCCCGTCTCTACTAAAAATACAAAAAATTAGCTGGGCGTGGTGGCACGTGCCTGTAGTCCCAGCTACTCAGGAGGCTGAGACAAGAGAATCACTAGAACCTGGGAGGCAGAGCTTGCAGTGAGCCAAGATTGCGCCACTGCACTCTAGCCTGGGCGACAGAGCGAGACTCCATCTCAAATTAAAAAAAAAAAAGGTTGACATATAAATAATGTTTTATATCTCGAACCCAGGAGGTGGAGGTTGCAGTGAGCCAAGATTGCGCCACTGCACTCTAGCCTGGGCGACAGAGCGAGACTCCATCTCAAATTAAAAAAAAAAAAAGGTTGACATATAAATAATGTTTTATATGCTGTGTTTTTAAATTATATGATCATCTTCCTATGTTGGTAAATATACATTTATAT